CGACAGCTGGCGGGACTCGGGTGGGCTCCCCCACACGCTGCATTTTCACTTCGTCGCTCTTCTCTTCCCACTAGAAAAGCTCTGGAACACATCGCGGGGCCCCGCAAAACCCCTGAAGTATGGCCTCTCGTAAGTCAGTGTCCAAAGTTGCCAGCAGACAAAGTTTCTCCGAGCGCAGCCTCTAATCGGAGGCAGCAGAGCACCGAGAGGCGACTTTGCGGCCGGAAAGGTGCACACGTTTCCAGTGCTGCGTTTTCGATCCACTGGGTCTGCAGGCCGCAGCAAGTGTGAGTGTGCTCGCTCAGCTCTCCACGTCCATGATTACACACTTCTCTTCCGCTCTCCCGGGGCAACTCTGCAAGGGCAAGCTACCCATTTTGGAAGAGGAATGAAGGGCGGGGAATGCACACCTGGAGGTGTGGGCAGGAGCGGCGCGGGACTACGGCCTGGGGATCATTCTTTGGAAAGTGTCAGCCCAGCCAGGAACAGATTCGCCCAGGCCCTAGAACAACACCCAGTCAATCCTGGGCTCCCAGGCCGCGCCACCCCCACCCCCACCCACCTTTCAAACTTGGTTTCCCAGGATTTTCGTGGTGTTGGTGAATTCTCTGCCTCTCACTCCGCTGCTAAAGCCTCCACACATCCAAAGTAGCTGCTTAGAGATAGAAAGCTTAGTGAACTCTCGCCTGGAGTGGCACAGAGAGAGCCGGGGCAGCGTGAGGGAAGGTACCCGGCAGGACTGACACAACTACATCTAAGGCGGAACTGCAGAGCTGCGAGGTAGCGCTGTGTGCGTGGCGGCCACTCGTTAACCTTGGGCTTTGCAGCAAGGAGAGGTGACTGTAAACCTCACTCGGGGAGGGGAAACCTTCTTGGAGGAAGTGGAAATGGTTTAGGCTTCCGGGAGGGTATGCTTCTAAGGCAGCACGACCACCTCCAGGGTGAGACTGCTGACACCGGGCTGAGGTCCCCTTGTGGCTTGCACAGGAGGCTCGAGGCTAAGCCCGGCGGGTAGTGCGTTCCTATCTGAAGCTGTTTCCTTTTCAAAACAATGTATCAAATCCCTTTTTAAAAAATCAACGTTAAACGACTCCGCTTTCTCTCATTTCCTACCAACTTATGATTTATTTTACAATAACCCACTGAAAATATGAGAAAATAGAAAGTTTAATACATGCACAGTACTAATATTGATGTATGACATGCAGAAAATGCATATAGTCTTACCTCACAAATAAGGTAATCTTAAATTCTTATATATATGTATATATATATATGTATTATATGAGGACAAAGAGGAAAATGTCCACTATAAGATCTAAGTACAGCCCTGGCCGGTTTTGCTCAGTGGATAGAGCATCACCTGAGGACTGAAGGGTCCCGGTTTCCATTCTGGTCAAGGGCATGTACTGTGGCTGCGGGCTGGATCCCCAGTAGGGGGCGTGCAGGAGGCAGCTGATCACTGTTTCTCATGGATGTTTCCAACTCTCTATCCCTCTCCCTTCCTCTCTGTAAAATCAATAAAATATGATTTTGAAAAAAGATCAAAGTATAATAAAAACTATACATTGGTAAGAAAAGTAAAATATACTGAAAGGGCTTTTCCTTCCAACTCAGGAAAACCACTTAGCAGATTTTCCTGTCTCCTTCGTACTACACACTTTTTATTTACTTTCAGTTCCTCAAAACTTCTGCATCTTCTACTGAAGATAAAGTTAAAATTTTATTTTAAAGAATTATAGTATTGTTATAGTATTAATTACATAAATACACATAAAATAAATCTTTAATTTAATAATGAATTATTTCAATGCTTAGTCCTATCTCGCAAATCAAAGGCAATATGAAAATGAGTTTCTTGCCTACCATTCAACTTGGATATTTTCCAAAATATTGATTTTATCTCTGGCTGTCTGAAGGAACATGGCTGCTTCTGCTTTGACTATATATTAACTGTCTTAACCCCTTCCCCGGCAGAAACGTGTATACTCATTTTCACAAAATGTTCTTTTTCAGTCGTCGACGAGTATACTAAGAAAATATGGTAAAAAAATATGGTTTATAGGAAGACGAGTTACAAACTGTTTTCATAACCAGCATCAAAAATACTATATAGAACCAAAATAAAAAAATTAGTCTGAAAAAGAAACGTTTTTAACAAAAATATTGTTGGGGAAGGGGTTAATTACTCTGTGGTCCTTTCTACTAATATCAAATAAGGAGTCGTGTCCACACAAGACTTGTATTAAGGAGTCCTAAGTTTTTTGCTGTAAAACACTTTCTATCCTCTTTATTTGGTCTGCCATGTCCTAAAATGAAATGGAGAACAAAATATAAGGTCAGACTGGATGGACCTGTTTTCTTCACAAGTGTGGACCTGACTAAAAGCACCTGCTCTGGCCCAACTGGTGTGGCTGAGTAGTTGAGCGTCCACCTATGAGCCAGGAGGTCAAGGTTTGACTCTCCGACAGGGCACATGCCGGTTGCATGCTCAATCCCCAGTAGGGGGCGTGCAGCCTATCAATGTTTATCTGGATGTTTCTCTCCCTCTCCCTTCCTCTTTCAAATCAGTAAAAACATTTTAAAAGCGCCTGCTCGGCAGCCAGCTTCTGGTCAACAACTTTAAAGTCCAATCCCGTTCAGCACTGAGATGTATCCAATAATTTAGTATTGCATTCCAAATGAGCCGGTTTTGTCATCTGTGAAATGGGGTAGTAATGCTAGTACAGTATTTTATTATGTTGCAAATTGTCTTTATCAAAGAAACATCATGTATTTGAACAGGCGTCTCAAAACACTGAAGCAGACGGTGTTGTTTCAACAGAGATGAAGAATACCTTGATACACTTTCTTTAATGTTTTCATCTGTCTGTGGCCCGCTTGGCGTTCGGATTTTATTCTCTTTCTTGGGTAGTCATCCCACTGTTTCTGTCCCAGCTTCCCTCTCTTATCCTCTGCCAAGCAGTGCTTCTCTATATTTGTTTCTTCAAATGACTTCAGCAGACCGCCGGTGCGGTCAAATGTGAGAAAAAATATTTCCAGCAAAACCAAGAGAATTTTAAAGAGGGATATTTCAAGTAGAGTTTACATTGATATCTTAAAGGACTTGGTCCAACCATTGATGTTATCTAGTGGCCCAAAGTCTATAATTTGCAAAGCATTTAGGGTAGAAAAACTGGTTGTCACTGCTTTGGGCTCTGTTTGTTCAGAAGGGCTTGCTGGCCATGCCAGTTCTCCCTTCCTCCCCATGTTCCCTTCCGTCTGGCAAAAGCCTTTGAAATTTTCTACTACAGAGTAATCAAAACTATCAGCCAAAAAGATCTGTTGGAAACTTTCCCTCCAGTCCATTTTGATGCAGAGACTAATTCGAAGAATATATTCTGGTGAAATGATACCCTAAGAGAATTCAGCCTGCTTGGGAAAGTGTGTGTGTGTGTGTGTGTGTGTGTGTGTGTGTGTTTTCCAAATGCCCCCCAGGCATAGGTGTCTTCCTCTTTAAAATGGGGTATTTGTGCCTGACCAGTGTTTTTTCTCTGGGGTAGAGAGAAAACATTCTCCTTAGGAAACCTTTCTATTTTAAAAGGCCAGTAGCAGAGGTGGGTGAGGCAGCCCAGTTTAGTAAAAGAATAACACTCTTCAGGGTAGAAGTGGCACAGGGAGACTCTAGGAACGGGGGTTGTGTGTGCAGCAGCCTTGTCTGAGGACGAGACTGCAATGAAATGAAAACCCTAAAGAGAGAGTCACTGCTTACCTTTTCTCTTACCTCACATTTCTGCGTGAATAATCTGGGCAATGCCTGAATAGAGCAAGGACAAGCGCATCCTTTGTCTCCCTCTTCCAAATCAAAAGGCTCCAATCTAAAACAAAGGTGGGGGCAGGGGAGGAAATGCAGAACAAAAAATAAATGTGTGTTATATGTATCATTTTAGAGCTAAAAATAGACATAGATACGAAGAACTCATAAGAAGGGTCACAAAACAAAAAGCTAGTTCTATAAAAGAATCATTAAGTAAATTTCTAGTAAGACTGATGGGGAAGAAAAGACAAAGACAGTGAATAAGATTTTATATTTTCAGTCATTTTTTAATATCATGATTTTTGTGAACAATTAAAAAACAGCTAAAATAGATAGTTTTTAGTAAGGTGTAAATTATAAAATTATTTATTAAAAATTTTAAAACATGAATTGAACTTTTATTTCTAAGTCTACTTACAAAAAGGGCCAAAGGTTTGATGGGAAAGACACCAGATCTTCACAGACAAATCAACTCTATTCAAATGGTTTCAAATAATAGGAAAAGACGGAATTCTTTTAGGAGCTAATAAAATATTGATACCAAATTCAGACAAAAACATAGAAAGGAAAATTACAGGCCAATTTCAAAAGGAGTAAATATTTATACAAACAATATTATCAAACCAAGTTCAGCAAATTTTTTTAAATTCCTCTTAAGCACATTGGGTTGATACCATGATGTAAGAATGGTTTAATATTAGAAAATATTTTGCCACTCATTTATATTTTTTAAATCTTAGCAAACTTGGAAATGGAGAAATTTCCTGAACAATCTAATTCTATAAGCATTATCCTTAATGTTAATTCAGTAAACATTTTTCTTTAAATGTTAGGGACAAAACAAAGCTAAGTTTTCCATTTCTACTCAACATTATACTGAAGCCCCTTGCCAAAATAAAACACACACACACACACACACACACACACAGAGAGAAATTAGAAGATATAGGGTTAGAAAACAAGAAAAATATGATTTATAGATGATACTGCTATCTACTAAGAAATCCAAACAATAAAATATGAGAGCAAATAAGAGATTTTAGCAACATTGTTGAATAAAAGATCAATATACAAAGAAGCCACAGCCACTAGAGATAATAAAATTTTAAAGGTCTTGTTCATAATAGCAACAGATCTTTATTATAATTTGGATAATAAAAACTAATTGAAGTTATAGTACCTATATAAGGAAAATTACAAAACTTTACTGAAACACATAAAAATAGTCCTAAATAAATGAAGAGATACATAATGTTCATGGAGAAGACTCCATAAACACAGAGCAATCTACTCCAATTGTATTAGGGCAGTGGTCGGCAAACCGCGGCTCGTGAGTCACATGCGGCTCTTTGGCCGCTTGAGTGTGGCTCTTCCACAAAATACCGACTTCTGAGCATGGGCCACGAGGTTTCAATCGCACTGTACGTGCGCCCGCATGTGGTATTTTGTGGAAGAGCCACACTCAAGGGGCCAAAGAGCCGCATGTGGCTCACGAGCAGCGGTTTGCCAACCACGGTATTAGGGTTTTCATAGACCCTGACAAAGTGATTCTAAAATTCACATGGAAGTGGAAGAGGCCAAGGATATTCACGACCATTCTATAGAAGCATAAGGAGGGAAAATGTCTCCTCCAGACATCAAAATATCTTAAAGCTTCACCAGGTGAAATAATGTGATATTGGTGCGGTGATTGCTAAATAATCTAATGAAAGAGAATAGCAGGTTCAGAAACAGAACCACATATAAATGAGAGATGAGTCCAAGTAAATCAGAGCATCAATGATCTGTTGAATGTATGATACTGAAATAATTACAAATATATTATATATATGCTGTACATTTTTAAATAAAACATGGATCCCTTCCCCTGACTGTAAACAAAAAATCAGTTCTTACTGATGTAAATACATACATTTACAAGGTAAAACTTCCATTTTAGAATATCTTCATCATTTCAGAATAGTGAAGAATTTATTACATGAGGTACAAAAAGCACAAACCATGACCGAATCTGTTCCTTTCTTTCGAATAAAATATGGCTGAGTTTAATATGCTGAGTTCTTGTGAGTTCTGGTAGTCGATATGATGTCTGCCTCTTGACCTGCAATGAGTATTCCAAGGAATATCAACTCTATTGTGCCACCGGGGGAAAGGAGGGCAGATGGGTTTCCTAAGTCCCTTGCATTTTATGTCTTTTCTGTTGTTTTGATTGGACAGCCTGTCCCACCTTCTAGAGCAGTGGTTCTCAACCTTCCTAATGCTGTGACCTTTTAATACAGTTCCTCATGTTGTGGTGACCCCCAACCATAAAATTATTTTCGCTGCTACTTCATAACTGTAATTTTGCTACTGTTATGAATCGTAATGTAAACATCTGATAAACAGGATGTATTTTCATTGTTACAAATTGAACATAATTAAAGCATAGTGATTAATCACAAAAACAATATATAATTATATATGTCTTTTCCAATGGTCTTAGGCGACCCCTGTGAAAGGGTCATTCGACCCCCAAAGGGGTCACGACCCACAGGTTGAGAACCTCTGTTCTAGAGCAAGGTAGGACCAGCATGACTGGTGGTACCTAATAGAAGGCTCTGAAACATTTTGGGTAGTGAACCCCTTTCAGAACCTAATCAAAGCTGTGAAAGTGCTCTACTGATAACTGTGGAGTGTGCATATTGCATAAGAGGCCTCTAATGACAATAGTCATTCTTGCCTTCTTGGGCACCAGCTAGGCTGGATTTCTCAGCCCCACTTGCAGTAAGTTGAGGTCACATAACTGTTCTCTCCAGTCCACTGTGAGCATAAGTGACTTCTGCTGATTCTAGGACTCCCTCTAACATTCCCTCCCATGTCTCCCGTCATGCTCTTTGTCCCTCCTGGTTGATTGTGATGGTAACGCATACACCACCCTTGGAAGCCAGGGATTGAAGATGACAGGCAGCCTAAGTCCTGACACCTAAGTGCCCATGTGAAGGAGGGCCTCTCCACTGATGCTAACACCCACTCGGGACCATTATGTGAAAAAGAAATTTCCAGTTCCTTGAGCCACTACATTTTGGGAATCTATCAATTACCTTAACTTAAACCAGTGATGGCGAACCTATGACACGCGTGTCAGAGGTGACACGCGAACTCATTTTTTGGGGTTGATTTTTCTTTGTTAAATGGCATTTCAATATATAAAATAAATATCAAAAATATAAGTCTTTGTTTTACTATGGTTGCAAATATCAAAAAATGTCTATATGTGACACGGCACCGGAGTTAAGTTAGGGTTTTTCAAAATGCTGACACGCCGAGCTCAAAGGGTTCGCCATCACTGACTTAAATGAATATATATATTCACACACAGTTTGACTGTAATCTCTCATGTTTGGTGACACCATGCACCCGAGTTGTGGACTGAGCTGAGAAAAGGACAGATTCTGATGTACTGCCCTCTGGAGGGGCACTCATCAAAAGTGAGCAAGTTACAGGAGTTACACCTTTGCACAAATTCTGCCTGACTAAGCGCTGATTGCATTTCCCTGAATGGCTCTGCCACTCCCTTCTTCCCCATCCCCCATTCTCTGCCAACATAAATTCTGAAAATTTTTTAAAGAAGTGGACATGAATGGAAGACTAATCAGCAATATATCAGGAACAAATTTCTGAGATACACAACAACATGGATGAATCATAAAAAACATGCTGAACAAAACAAGATAGACACAAAACAGTATATACTACACAATTCATATCTATGACGTTCCAAAACAGGCAACACTAAGCTTTGACATTAGGAGAAAAATCATGATTTGCTGGCAGTGGTCGGCAAACTCATTAGTCAACAGAGCCAAATATCAACAGTACAACGATTGAAGTTTCTTTTGAGAGCCAAATTTTTTAAACTTAAACTATATAAGTAGGTACATGGTTATTAACTTAATGAGGGTACTCCTAAGCTGGCCTTTGCTAAAAACGTCCTCAATCTGATTGAGGTACGGTCGCTGAGGTCGACCCCTTTCAACTCTCCCATCCACACTCGTCTTGTATACTTGTTTCGTCTATCTCCTTTCGTTCATCCTCTCCGTATGTCCAAACCATCTCAACATACCTTTCTCAATCCTCATCTAGAACTTCTTTCACTCCACAACGTTCCCTAAAATTAACTTAATAAACTTTACTTAAAGTTTTAAGTCAACTTCGCACTGTATGTGTGCACCCGCACGTGGTATTTTGTGGAAGAGCCACACTCAAGGGGCCAAAGAGCCACATGTGGCTCGTGAGCCGTGGTTTGCCAACCTCTGGCCTAAGGAGTTGGGACTGACTAAATAGGCACGCAAGAAAATCTCCTGGGGTGACGGAAATGTCCTATATCTTGCTTTGTGTGTTGATAACCTGGGCGTTTATAATTGTTCAAAGTCATTGGACTGAACATTTAAGATTGGTGCAATTTGTTGTTTGTAAACAACAACTAAATAATATATTTTAAGGGCAAGTGAAATTACCTGGATCTATCCATGCAATAATATTTCTAAATCAAACTATTGTGGAATAATTTTCAGCCATCACAGACATCCTTTTGGGGCTGCTATTGTGATTAAATATATGTAAGTATAACACCACTTAAGAGCAGAAAATGATTGTACTGGATGTAAAACCAAGATACACTATAAACATGTCCTAAGAAAAATTAACTTTATAATAAACAAATCAGTAGTTTATTTCCATGTATAAAGCTTGTGATTTTCCACAACTAGCATCCTAATCCTACATAACCATAAAAGATATTTCTATCATTAATAATGTATAGGTTTTTCTGTCCTGAGTGGGATATAGCACTTACAGGACAGGACTATATTTTGAGGTTTTTATCCCACATTTTCTTCTCCTTGAATTTCACTTTCCTCTCTTTCCTTGTTGAATAGTCATATGCTCTGTGCTCATTGCTTAGGAAAGTCTGTGGCAAAGCAGCAAACGGAAGAGCAAAAATCCGTACAGAAAGCCTAAGCTCTTAGGAGAAGGGGGTTTCCAGGCATAGAATGGTGCG